GGGGGTGCGGACGCGCGGCAGCCGGCGCTCCCCGGTTCCCGCGTTGCGGTTTACTTCGTTGGCCGTCGCGTGTGCCGGGCGCCCCCGCCGGCGGACCCCCGGCCCGGCCACGTCAGGCCTTCGTTGGTGTGTTTGAAGCCCTGCGAGGTCGGGTTCCCAGCTTCCCGTCCCCCAGCGGCTTCCCCGGGGAGTGGCCGCTCTCCGTGCCCCCACTGCCGGCTCGAACGGCGGCTGGAGCGGCGGCAGTGCGCCTGCCTTCTGGGCCGGCGCGCGGCGGCGCCCAGGGACTCGCGTCTTCCTTAGCCCCGCTTCGAATTCTCATCTCGCTTTGTCCGGAGTGCCTCGCAGCAGGCGTCCTCCCCTGCAAATCCTAAGTGACAGGGAAAGGTTTGGAGGAATGTAGAAAGTGTTAGTGCGTCTGGGGGAGGCACGGTGGGCTCGCGTTTCTCAGGCTGCGCTGTGGGCCCTCCTGGGCATTCAGGTTGGGGAAAGGGCCAGGTGTGGCGGTACATCCCCGGGTCTGCCCTTGTCCTTGCACGCTGGCAGGTGGGAAGTATGTCAGGCCCTGTGTCGGCTCCAGTACGGGTCTGGCTTCAGGAAACCTTTTTTGTGTGCTCCTTGGTGGGTAGGCGCGCAAGGTGGCATTGGGCTTTGGGCTCGTCGTGCGGGCACGCCCGGGCCTCGAGGCAGTGTAGGTGCGAACGCCCACATTCCTAAAGAACGGGGAGGGTTGAGACCTTGGACTGAAAGCAGCCTCCTGGATGTCTCCCCCAACCTTTAATGCCATTAGCTGAGGACTTCCGCGCTGGCCAAGGGCAGCCTGAAGTTTTCAGGTGCCTCCTCTACCTGACTTACGTAGTGGCTACAGAACAACCCAGCCTCTGCGGGAACTGCGAAGAAATCTGCTCTGACCTTTAGAGCCCTCCCACCTTCCTCGCTGTTACACAAGTCCAGTATTAGGCTATGAAAATCTTACAGCTACAGTCTGAGTGGTTCTGCTCCCCTGATATCAAAAGCTACAACTTTGCTAGACCAATGGCTCTTTGGGTCTTTTTCCTCTTAATGTAGATAGCTGTATGCAGGCAGATTCCCTGTGAAGTGAGCTCCTCTTGGGGACTGGGAGACCCACTAGGCTGATTCCCCCCGGCACCCCCTGCCCGGTACCGGGATTCGAACTCTCAACCTTGCGCTTGCTGGGCAGGCGCTGTGCCGCTGAGCTAAACCTCTAGCCCCTTGATCTTCGTTTTTTGTTGTTGTTGTTGTTGTTTTAAGAATAGGAAAATTTATTAGGGAAAAGGAGTGGGGAATAGGAATAGTTCCTGAGAGACAGAGGGGTTCTGAATCGGTTCCCAATGAGCCCACTTCTCAAAGGAAGTTTTATAGAGCAAAGTAAGAAGGTGAGTACAACTTAGGTCAAAACTATGATCAACCATTAGACAAGTGTAGCCATTTAAGTAATATACAATAGGGAAGCAGGTCATGCAGCAAGTGTACCCCACCCCAATGAGCTTTAATGGTTTACTTGTAGGAAAAATCCTAGAAGGGTGGTAACAGTAACTCAAACTTTTGTGTACGCCTTAGGAGAGGTATGTAAATCTGGCCATTGTGACTTCTTTTTGGTCTTTTTGAGACAAGGTTTCACTATGCAGTTCAGGCTGGCCTTGAACTCACTTATATAGCCTAGGCTGTCATCCTCCTACTTCAACCTCCTGAGTGCTGGGATTGCAGGCGTATACCACCATACCTTGCTCACAAGGCTAATCTTGACTTTATAGCCTACCTCAAATACAATAACATCTTTTATTTGGCTGGTTTTGTTTTGGGGGTTTTTAGTCAGGCTGGCTTTGACCTCACTGGGTAGCCCAGGATGGACATGGGCGATCCTCCTGCCGCAGCTTCCTGAGTGCTGGAATTACAGGTATGCACTAGCATGCCAGGCTCCAGGCTGGATTGATTGATTGATTGATTGATTGATTTAATTTATTTATTTTTTTTGGTACCAGGAATCAAACTCACAACCTCGCACTTGCCAGGCAGGTGCTTGTGTCACTGAGCTATAACCCCAGCCCTGAAAGTTTTTTTTTGTTTGTTTTTTGTTTCTGTCCAGGCTAGATTTAAACTTGCAATTGTCCTGCCTCAACCTCTCAGAGTGCTAGGATTACAGACATGTACTATCATAGCTATATTTATTTTAATTATTTTTA